GGAAATTTGTTCAATTATTAATTATCTGATTAAGAATTGTACTTGAAACTTTTTTTTTCCTTTGCAATAATCTCAATTTTATTAAATATGCTATTCAGTGATGCTATTACACAGAGAGTTATTGATTCCTCGTTGTGCAGTTAGACAAAATCATTGTCTTAACAAAATTATTCCTTTAATGTATGATATTAATGAGAGGATAGTTATTTTAATTCTTATGTAAAAATTTTTCTTCGAAGAGTAGCTGATCACAAATGATTGATTGAATTAAGATTTGCTAATAATGCCTGAACTTTACTGATTTTATAGAGCTGTAGAGGGATAATATCTTATACTTATCTATATGCCGAAACATTTTCATTGTTCCCATATACAGGAATTGAAGTGCTTAAAACTCTTATGCTGTGTATTAAAAATTCTAAGAAATGTGAGAACCACTGATTTAGTGATGTGGGAAAAAGAATAAAGCCCCCTTTCTACTTCTTTAACAGTGAAGAATTAACTGTAAACAAGTTATAATCTTTGCTGCTTCTATCAATTAAAAAGAATTAATGTAATTTGACTTTTCACTTAAGAAAGAGTTAAAGTGTAACTGAGCATATTTAAAGTATTATAGAATCTATCGCAAAATTCTAATTCATAAATTAGTAAACTCAGAATTAAAATAAAAGTTTAGAAATAATTTTAACTTAAATTATAATCTCAGTGATTTAAAAGTAAGTCAATAAAAACTATATTATTTTTGAATTTTTTTCATGTTTAATAAAAACAATAAAAGGCAAACATTTTTACTTCTTTGAACGAAAAAAAAAAGGATATATTGTAATCACGAAGAATTTCGGGTATCATATTTCAATACAAATATTCATTTTGACCTTTCGCGAATCAATTCGGACAATTTTTTTGTATGACATCTGTACGTACGGACAAAATAAAGAATTATTTTTTTCCAAAACGGATTGTAAAATGGATTTAAAATATACTCAAAAGGGATTTTTTTTTTTTTTTCCGTGACGTCTGTACGCCGTACATTGTGCACTCACCCCTTTACCCAGCCTTTATTTTCTCAAGTTGTTTGTCTTTTCATATATTTTCTAATTATAGTTGTGTTTTAAATGAAGAAAATATTCACCTCTTGTCAAAAAAAGTATTAAATAAATAAAATGAAATAAAAAATAATTTTCGCCGAGTATCGAAATCAAACTTTTATTGCGATCTCCCGGTTTCTATACTCGTATTTGATAAAGTTTTATATTTGTTAAATATATATATATATAAGAAGTTTGGCTTCCGTACGATAAAAATTGAAAAAATATTTTATTTCAAAACTTGAAATTTTTTATATCATTTTCAACTTGATTGAGGTTAATTAAGTTAAAATTGATTGGTTAATTAAGTTAGAATAATTCGAGGAAATAAGTTTAAATAAACTATAGCAAAGAATGTGTACAATTTAATAGGTCGTATAATGTTTGCCGCTATATATCCACGTATTAAAAAACTATTTATCAAGACAAAATGTACGTTTTTTTTAAATAATATAAATAAAACACTTAAATTGTACATTCAAATTAATAAATTCTTATAAATTGTTTAAATGAAAATTGCTAAGTGAAAAATTATAAATCCTTCAGGGTTATTACCTGATAGATGGCCGCCATTACCTCCTATGAAGGAACGGACATATACACCAATGTCTTATCCGATATTCGAACCTGGGCCCTTCGGTCTGCTCTCTTAATCACTATACCGTCTGGGGAACGTAAAAAAACGCAAAATCGCGTTTGATAGCTTAACATTTATTCGGTTTGCAGATAAAGTCTTTCCTAAAATCTAGTTTTATTAGATATGCAGATATTGACTTTGAGGAGAAAACTGTCGTTATAAAAGAGTGTTTCCTAGGATTCATTCAAACTCATAAAAAAGATGCAGCAAGTATAGCAGGTATAATATTACAACAACTAGAAAAAGACAAATTAGCTTTCAAAGACTGTCGATCACAGTGTTATGACAATGCGCCTGTAATGTCCGGCTACAAACCAGGAATGCAAAAAAGACTCACAGCACTTAACCCAAAAGCTATATTTGTTAACTGTGATAATCGTACACTTAATTTGGTTGGGGTTCATGCTGTTTGAGGTAGCTTCTTTGACGTTTTTAGTACCATGCAAGCTATCTATGTTTATTTTTCATGATCAACTCTCCGATGGAAAAGACTGAAAACTACTCTAGGTGTATCGTTGAAGTCGAAGTCAGAAACTCGTTGGAGTGCCAGAGTAGAAGCTGTTAAACTGGTACATGATCAACTCGAAACCTTAGTAGAGTTATTTGAAAATATTGCAGAGGATCATGATGAAAATGCAGATACAAGAAGTGATGCAATTCAATTGTTGCATCGGATCTTAACTTTTGAGTTTTATGTTCTTCTTCGTTTCTGGAATACAGTACTTGCCAAGATTGACAGGGTTCAGAAAAGGCTTCAAGACCCCATTATGAATTTCCACAATGCTGCTCGAGATATTCAGGCTTTACAGGACTATCTTCTACAAAACAGAGATGAGATATGCATGAAATATCTTGGAGACGCCAAGGACTGTGTAATGCTTGTGATGTTCAAGCTGAAAGACGACAGAGAAAGAAGAAGAAAATGCCTGGAGAAATTGCAGAAGATGTAGGACTCACAGCAGAAAATGAAATGCCGCGTTTGATGAAAGTATGCTGGAAAAAATACACATAGAAATGGCAGACAGATTCATCAGCTTAAAGAAAGTAGACTCTAATTTTGGCTTTCTTTTAGATATAAACGGACTAATGGCTACAGGCAACGAAAGTAGCTTGAAACAGTGCTGCATTTCCATGGAAAACGTTTACGATACAGACTTAGATGGCTTGGAGATGTATACTGAAATAATGGACTGCCGAATGCTACTCAAGACAAGAGCTGATGTTAAGCTTTCGATGCCAGAGGACCTGCTTCGCTTTATTGTACAGTACGGAGAAGATGTATTTCCCAATCTGAGAGTTGGTCTTCAGATTTTACTGACTATTGGAACCTCCATCGCCAGCTGTGAAAGATCTTTCAGTAAACTAAAACTTATCTTGTCCTACCTGAGATTATCCATGGCACAGGAAAGATTGTCTGCCTTAGCTTTGCTCAGTGTGGGCAGCAGGTTGCCCAGAGTATAAATTTTGATGAACTAATCGATAAATTTGCAGCAGCTAAAGCTAGGAAAATTTCACTTTGAAATTAGTGATTACGTTTGAAGCATTATACATGAAACTGTCATTATACATTTTCAAGTTATTATATTATTATATCCAATATGATGTTTTAAGTTTTCGGAATTTATATTTGAATAATATTTTAGAATAATCATATTTTCGAACTATCATTATTGTCTTAATTATTTTACTACGTTCTAAGTTAGTGACTTTAGAGAAACTTTTAAAATATACTCTTAAAAGTGCTTTAAAAATTAAAATATTTAATAATTTAAACTAATTAAAATTAAAAATATTTCATATTTTAGCAATTATTATTATATTAAACAATTAAAATGTTATTATTTTTATAAAGTTTTCTTTTCGTTCCCCACTGCATTCTGGCAGATGGGGGGGGGCGCGAAATCTTCACTTGTCTCCGGGCGCTGATAACCCTAGCTACGCCTCTGATTCTAGCTTAGACCTCAGGAAAAAGAGGGTAGTATATGTATATCACGGCAATTAGGCCATTGATGACTTATGCGTCGCCGGCCTGGTGCACGGCTACCAAGGAGGATATAAAAAGACTTCAAATCATGCAGAACAAAGTCTTAAGGCTTATCACCCATGCTCACTTTTTTGTGAGCAATGCTACACTGCACTGTGACTTAAAACTGGACACTCTAGAAGAGCACCTGAATAAGATCAACAGGAAATTCTTCACGAAAGCTCTTAACTGTGACTATATGAAAAATTTTGATATCTTTACCTACGAAATATTGAATGAGGACGCCAAACTGCGCCCACCTTATCAGGGACCCGAACTTTCTCACCTAATGCCCACCTGTAAATAATGTACCTAATGTAAGCATTCTTAATTTTGCATCTTACTTATTTATTGTACTGTGTTTTTCTTAAATTCACTAGTTTTATATACATTCTACACTCATTTTATGACTCCCACTTAGTCATGCCTTTACCGGGCCGGTTACTTGCAAGTGAGCTCTTGCGTTGCTGGTCTTCCTATTCTTTATCCATCTTTGCCCCTCCTTAAGGCGGACATTATGTGAAGATAGTTCTATGTTATTGTGCCCATCTGGCATAAATTTGATTGAGCCAGATAAACTACTGATCTCGGTGGTATTCTGGCTATAAGTTAACAGTCAGTTCAGTTCGGCAAAATCAACTTAAAACAGCGCCAGTCTAAACAGATGAAATTTTTGGCGACCACAATTCTGCAACTGCAGCAAGAATCGCTTTGAAACAATTTTCTCCGCCCTTTATTTCCATGCGAGATAGAGTTCCAAGCAACATATTTTGCACATTTGTTTTGGCGTATATGTTACGAACATCAACCAGAAAGCATTCTTCGGATTAGCGACGCATAATACCGAATATCCCCTATCATTTTTTCCTATGTAAAAAAAAAGAGATTCTTGTTACTTTCGACAACTTTATTAGGATGATGGACTAGATGTTTTTTTAAACACCTCCTTCATAAAGTTAATCCAGTTAATGATTGTATTACAAATACCTTATTGTTTCACACAATATCTTAACTGATTCCTTTCTTCTGACCAACAATAGATAAAATATAATGCATTCAAAAAAAGAAATTTTTGATCAAAGAAGACAGTTTCTGTCTTCACTTTTAGACAGTGTTTAGTTGTACAACAATAGTGTAAGCTGAATGCATTTGACTATGCATAACATAATTTTTTTTTTCAGTCGATAATGAACTGAAAATAATTAGCACATTCACGGATGAAATACTATCAATTTAAGAAGGCAGATGGAATTTATCGCTGTAACAAGAAATAACAACGATAAAAGACAAAAAGCACACGTAAAAAGAAAAGTTTCGTATTTAAGGTACTCTTAAGTTTATCATATAGGCTGTTGTTACCAGAATCCACACGTACCTTTTTAAGAGTAAGAATTAAACTGTTATGAAACTGTAACATAACAAAATGCATGATAAATCGGTAAAGAACATCTATACATAAAATGAAATTCTCTTTAAAACAAATACATTGGCAATACTTACAGCTCCCTCGGGCAAAGGTTCTATTTTGTCCCATTGCACGGTGCTACTCGTTCCTTGAAGAAACTGGGAAAATAACCTTTGGAAGCCTCTGAATTCTTCCGCCGTCCTCTAGAAAGAAATAAAACTATCATTTTCGTTTTGGCATCATCCATAATATCGTTACAAATACTCATGCATGTTTACATACCGTCTCTATTACAACCTCTGATCGTTACCATACATTTTAGTTGTCAATGTGTTTTAAATAATGCAAAAATTCATTTTTCACATTTTTAAATTTAGAAAAGTTAATTTTGTAAAAATTACGAAATCTAACATTTTATGCATTTGCCCATTGCTTATAATTATATTTGTGAACAGTTATACTCATTATGAAGTATAAAGCATTTTACTCCTACACAGCAAAAATTAGCCATGATATTTATTCTTAAAGTTTTGAAGTCGTGTTCAGGAGTCGTACACAAATTGAAGAGGGAAATGCTTCCTTTCTACGCTACTGAAAAAGAAATATCAGATTAGGAAAAGGTTTCTGACTTTAGTAGTTTGTCGATAAAAGTATTGACCAATATATATATATATATATATATATATATATATTTTTCAAACGGAATATCTTATTCACAGAAATTTACAAAATTCGTATTCTAGAAAATAATAACAGGTTTCAGTATTGGCATATAACCCAACCCGTAGCATTATTTCATACCATTATTTGACATAGCATTATTTCATAATTTTAAAGTGAAAAACATATAGTTTCAATGTGAAAATTCTTTCGATTAAGTCTCCTCGGAAAGTAATAAACACCACAGTTTGGTATGGTGCGCGGATGTTTATATGCACAAAAATGTGATTAATGAGCATTTTATTATTTTAAAACATGCGTGTAGTTAATTTTAGTATTTAAGTAACTATATTTATTTTAAAGCAGTAATCAGGCAAGCTATTATACATTCTTTACCTCAATTAATGTTATTACAAGATCAATAATGATATATTCTTTGCGTTATTTAATGCTATTTGAAAACTCTTAGCAATCAAATCTGGTTTGCAGAATATATTATACTGAACTTCTGAGTCCAAAAATAGTAGTTAGCGAATTAGATACTACTGGTTAGTGAGTGACAGGATTAGAATCAATAGCAAAACATAGAACTTTGTACTAATCATGTCCATTTGAAGTAATATGTATATTCCTTTCACCATGCAAAGGCTAACGACTGGTTGTATAGCGGATATAATATAATTAAAGATATTTTAATTCAAAATAAAGCGACCAATTAAAATTTTATTTCCGAATGCTGTTTTATTTAAAAACGAATAATCTCCAAAGCAGACATTACCTATGTTATAGCCATTTTTCTAAATTTTATTCTTAAAACTCTTAAATTTAAGTCGATACCATCAAAAATTTACTTAAGCTAGTAGTTTTTTTATGTTGTTATCGACATAAATTTAAGTCTTTTTTTCTCGAATATCTCTATGAAATTTGTGTTTTACTAATTTAGCTATTTTTGCTAAATAAAGCATAGTGACAATTTAAGTGACTGAGATTTTTATTTTGCGGGGATCTATAAAAACTTAAGATTCATTTTTAACCCAGGTGATGTGTTACGACTATTTCATTAAAATTTTCCAATTATTTTAAGAAATTCTCTAATTGGAAGTATATGCCTGGGATCAATATTTAAAGAAATCAAGCCCGTAGCTACGTTTTCCAAACCTACTGTAACTACACACCGAAAAAGAAAGATCAGCCAGCGCCAAGAGGGAAGAATTCAACTACAATTGAATCAAGGGAACGACGTCGCTTCAAAATGCACTTTCAGCGATTTCTTCATCAAATTACAACACCGCTGGTGGAGACATGAATACAAAACAAGAGCTTATTCTATATACGAAGCTATGACAGTAGACCTGTAATTCTATAAAGGACTAGTCAGCAGTCAAAGAATGTATGTATAATGCATATTTCTGTGTGAACTTCCAATAACATGCAATTTTCTCCTATTTCGCCAGCGTTCCAACTGTAATAATCATGTTATCTTACAATTTTATAGAAAGATACATCATTAATTTTAAAACTGCCACAAAAATTAAGTTATACTACATTAAAAATTTCACAAAGTAATAAAAAATCTGTAATATTCGCTTTCTAAATTTCGAAATATCTGTTTACAATTCTGATACGAATTATATTTCGTAATACTTTTCTTTTAATTCTGTTTAAAAATTTTAATACAAAAATAATAAAATTTTAAAAAAGCAATAAACAGAATCTAATTCTTGAACTGATATTGTAAAACTATTCAAAACGGAAAGCAAATGACATAAAATTTCAAGAATTTTGTTAGAACTGATTGCGTTGAAAAATGTAAATGAATCGCTATGTAATATTTATATGAAGACGGAAAAACAGGCAATTTATTAGGATGTGTACAGAAGTTCTGTGATGTTTCGTAACAAAAATTCAAGGATAAAGAACTTAATAATATGAAGAATCTGATGCGGACACTACATGAACTTCCTTGTACGATCAAGTATACTCTTATACACAATTTTTGCTTCACTTCATTTAAAATTATTTCCTCAAATTATTCTAATTTAATTCACCGATCTCTCAAGGACTGTTGAAAATGACATCAAAAATTGCCAATTTTCATATCCCGATTAATTTTGTCGTACTTCTCATAATATATATAGTCTTCTTATATAGTCTTATAATATATATAGTCTTATAATATATATAGTCTTATAGTCAAACTTCTTACAATTTTATTTTTTCGTAACGAGTATAAAATTTTCCCAAATGTAAGAATAGGAACAGGGACACCACATTCAAATTTACACTTCATTATTTGTCTGAAATTTTTTGTTTAATTTGGCATTGCCAAAACACAAATATTTTCGTTATTTAAAACACTACTGCAATTGGAAGTGTATGATTACGGCCAACGATTGCGAAAGTAAAGGCCGGGTAAGGACTCTGAAGGCCGGGTAAAAGGGTGTGTGTATGTGTGTGAATATGTATATAATACCGAACATTTACATATATATAAATGTTCGATATTACCGACTGCAATAAAATAGGAGGTGAACAACTACATTTTAATCGCAGACTCATGTACAAATTTTCAATGTTACATTTCCGAGTTACATACATACGTGCAGACATCTAAAAAAAAATCTCCTTTGAATCCATTTTACAATCCATTTGTAAAAGAGTCGTTTATTCTGTCCGTACGTACAGACGTCATGCAAAAAAACCTTCCAAGTAGATTCGGGAACGGTCAAAATGGACATTTCCGTTGACATTTAATATCCGAAATTTTTAATGCAATACTTCCTTTACTTCACACAACGACGTAAAAGTTCTAAAAATGAACAGGAACTAAACACCAGTAAGGGCTTTGTTTTGTGTATTCAAAGGAGACTGCAATAGGCAGATAAAAAAAGGTTCCAACATTTGTGAGGTATCTGGCAAGGACGGAATACATTAATTTACAGAGAATCTTTGATTTGGGTAGCTTTATGAAAGGGACAGAATCTACGAAGATCCCTCACAAGCTAGATGTTCACTTAAGTTATCCAAAGACGATTACAATTTAGTCATGACTACCGTCCAGCTGTTTAAAGAAATATTAAATATATTTCCTACACACAGCATAATGATAGAAAGATGGATGCACGTACTATGTGCTTGGGTTAATCACAAAATTCAACTAATAAGTTGAACAAATAACAAACTGGGAAACAAGTTTCTAACATCAAATTTTTCATTTATTTACTAGTAACTGCCCGAGGTTATTTTCCTCAAGTACTGAGTCAGTTATCTCTGAGACGCGAAAAACTGATAATAATGAAAATTTATGTGAGTAAACGAAAACGAAGGCGGATTTAATTTCATGAAGGTATAAGAGTAATAAACTCTGAAAACTGTAAGTAACTGACAGAAATTTATGTACCTGCTTTTCAACAGTAGATGGAGCTGTGTTCAGTATTTTTTCGAGTTCTTTGGCCAGTTCATTCTTCGCATCTTGTTTTGTCAGCTGCTTGAATTCTGTTGAATCGCTAACTTTACGCTGCTTGCCGAATGCCTGAAAAAGAGATAATGCAAAATATATGAAATAATGGCCTTATTATCTTATAATTTATGTTATGCATTAAGAATGAAACCCGTAATAACATACCTGATTTTAAGTAATAACAAAAAACAGAAATGTATACTGATGGCTATGTAAATTAAAACATTTGACACTAAATTGATTGTAAATGAGAGTTGTGTTTATGTTACCGAAAGAATAATATTCTTGGAATATTATCTTTATTCCCCCAACTCTCTACAAATGACAGTGCTTTAAACAACCGTAAAACAGTTTCTCTGGCAGTTTTGTCACGTTAACACGAGGTTTAAAATTTATTACTGCTTGTTTTCTAGAGCTATCTGCAAATCCTCTGGTAAGTTAGTGTTCAGTGATTGTTAAAACAATATTACATTTTGAACCTTACTTTTAGAAATATCAGATTCAGAGGAAGAACGTCAGCCCATAAGAATGGTTTGGTTTATTTAATTACGGCAAAGCACACTAGGGCTATCTGCCTAAGGGGAGGGATGATGCCTTCGTGGAGGACTTTCTAAGGGAAAATGGCTCGTATGCACGATGCCTTACACATTGGGGAAAACCACGAAAACGCCCATGCAGCCATGTTCGCGGGATTCGAACCTCGGACCGAACTACCAGTGTTCAGCGACTTTACCGCTCGTCCGCTGGTGGGCCCCCCGTAAGAATGCCAGAAATGTTATTTGAATTAAAAAATACAGGCGCAACTTACACACCCAAAATATGACAGACTGTATTAAAAAAAACATTTGAGTTCATTGATGATTTAGCCCATGGACTTTTTAATATAATTAAATAAGATAATGTGGATCTTCTGAGTTTAAAAGTACCCAGTGGCAAAATCCCCATCAATTTCAAAGTTAGAAGATGTTTCCAAAAATAGCAGATTACGTACCTAAAAACTACAGAAACCTCCTATAATGAGATCCTTATTAATCCCAGTACAGAGAGAGACACTTGTGATGCAGAAGGCTAAAAATTATGTGAATTTTAATTCCTAAAACGTTTGTTCTTTAATAAAAATAGGAGATCTTCCTAAATGCCTTATTTCATTGCTTTCAAACACACGTTGCCTTTTCTTAAAAGACAAAGGATAACATTCCTGTACTTTTAAATACCAATATCCAGTTATTTAATAAATATAGGATTTCTGTATTTTGCTACTAAACGTACTTTACTGAAATGTTTTCCAATCTCCCATTCGTTTTTTAAACATTATTTTAGCTAAATTTACGGAATACACAACCTTCTGTCGAATCTTCTCACTAATACACAGTAACATAATTAATGTATGTCTATAAAAAATTTAATTAAAACCATTAAATGCACTTGTAAATTTATTTACTTTTTTCAGTTAGACCAATTAGTCTATACGTACCATAATAAATTTATAATTATTTACTATCTGCTTTAATTGCAACACTTTTAAGTATTTAGAAAATCTTTTTCTTAAGACATCGCTTTGCGCATAAGCTTATGTTGAAGACACATTCATTTATGTGCATTTTTCTTTATATTGCAAGTTACTTTAAAATAACAGATAGATAAAAAGAAAATAACAGATAGTTAAAAAAATAACACAGAAATTCTTTCGTGCGTGAAACTTGTTCTGTTTACTTGGTCTTGTCTGTAATTTTCGCATAAGTAAAAAAAAATTCTAAACGAATAATTTCGAATTTTATATTATCCGTGCTGAGACAAATATGTGGTTGAGAGAGTCGAATAAATATTGTATTCATTGATAAACAGCAGCATTGGGATGCCGATTGCAACCCTTTCTATTATAAGGATTTCGTCAACAGCTTGCATGTGCTGTGCACGAAAATAGGTCACCCAATCAGATTATACCAAGGAACGTGTCGCTCATAAAACAGTTTCAGCGGAAGCCACAGAAAAATCACACAATGCAATTCAAAAGCAACTGAAAAAAAGGTTAAGTTAAACTCTATTTAGTTAGTTTGTGAAAACATATTTCAAATATCTGAAATAACTGCATCGCATTTGATATATCTGAAATGATATAACAGTGTCTCAATAGGATAATTGGCAACTGAAGAATTAAATTTTACTTTAAACATTTTTTTCCAAAATATTGCGATAAAAATAATTAACAAGAGAGATAAAAAAACTGAAGCGTAATTTTATCATTTCAAACAATTAATACTCTTTATATCGGATTTTCAATTGTTCAAAGTTTACAAAAAAGCTACTCAAATACAGCTTATTGTTCCAAGCAATTTTCTACTACTGAAAAGGTGATCATCTTACAGAATACTAGCCGCTTTTGCAGCCAAAATAGTTACAAAGAAGAAAAATGATAGAATAATTTTAATGATTCCAGCTAGTGTAACTTCAGAAAAATGTTTCATATTTTAAATTAGACATCTGATCGTTTAAATATATTTTTAATTAAACTAATTAGATTAAAAAATAACCGCTTGATTTGTTAGAGAACGGATTAAATTTGAAAATTAAATACCTTACGCTTTATTTAACCACAGTGCACTTGATAAAAGTATTTTGTTTCAAACAGTCGCAGCACGTTGCTTTTAAGTAGCGGAGTTAGTTGATTAAAACAGCACTCGAAACACATAGGAATCTTTCTTTTCACAATAATATATTACACAAAACAGTAAACAGTACCCTTACTTTACGTCTGCCCCATACCAGGATATGCTGGAAAAAAACTCTACAAAATTAAATTCTTCAAAATAATGCCCTTAGAGAAATAGCCAATGCTCCTTTTTGCAAGGAATAGCACATTACATACAAATTATAAAATCGGAGCTATCATAAAACACATTTTCCTTCAATATTAAACATCATCACTTCAAAATCATGAACCAAAACCACCAAAAGAGAAAACTTCCGTTAACATTTTTCTTTTGTAACAATTAGCACAATTTTAAGGTGCCATTCTGTCGTCCTTCACACAAAGAAAGATTTTAATTCTTTTTTTTTTGAGCGCATTCCATTGCTGATTTCTCACCACTTACCATGGAGTAATGGAAACTTCTTTCCAGAACTTCAAAATACTTTGTGTTTTTAAATTAAATTGAAAGGCATTTACATCGTGGTCTTACATTTTGCCGAATGGCAACAGTCTTGCGCTTTGGAGATAAAAATATTTTATTTCGAACAGTGTTGCCACTACTCGCTTTCAAATCGTTGATTGTATTAACCGAAAATTCATTAAATTTGTACAAAATGTGAAATAAATCAAAAGCAAAATCGAAATTCAAAATTAAGTCTTCGAGGTGCGCATATTAGGGTGGAAGACTACATATTTTCAAAATCTGGTAGTTGTAGGTATCGCCATTTTTCCGCAATGCAAAAAGAACATACAAATATGCATATATGTATATTCTTCATTACATATTTAATAATAAAGAAGAGATGACTGTTGGTAATGTTCAGTACCAAAGTTTATATTCTTTAAAATACTGTTCACTTTCAAAAGTTGTCGTCAAGAGATGTTTCGCACGATTTATTATCGAAATACCTATATTGCAATTATTCTCATTTAGTGCAGTTTTATTTTTACCGTTGCAGATTTGAAAGAAACACGATTTTGATTACATTATATGAAAAATTTCTCTAAACGTTAATTTTACAATCGAGCAATTGTTTTAATTTTTCAGGTATTTAAAACCTTTCTAAATATAAAATTTCTTTTGCTGAATATGAAACTCATTATTAAATAATTAAATTTTTTAAAGCATTTTCTTTCACAAGTTAAACTTTCCTCTACATATTTACATTCTATAAAATTAATCAAAACGTTATTTTCTATAAAATTCTTTATATGATTCAGTTTCGTTTTCAGTTACCCAACTGGGATAAAAACGCAGAAATTCTTTCCCAATTGCCCATTTTCGGGATCACTTGAGTTCTCTAAAATGTATATCTAGAAAACATGATTATTTGATTATGGAATTGTTTATTTATGATTATTGAATTATGCTTTCTGATTGCACAAAAACTTGACTTTATAGAATAGCGCTAACAAAATTCATGTCAACCATTTTTAGGGTGTCCGCTGAAAACATTGCGTAAAAAAACGTCAAGGAGGAGAAAACGCAAGAAACAGACGGTGGGGAAAGAAAGCAAAGAGACAAACATAGCATCTCTAAAAAAAACATTGTGTTAGAAAATAAAGCGAAGCAAAAAACTTCAGTTTTAATACACCGTCCTATACAATATCGCGGTAAAAATAAGGCAACTACAAATCATATCATGATGATAACACCGCAGACATGAGTTTTCTGACTATAAACATTTAAATTAAATTTTTAAGTAATGACTTGAAATCACAAGAAGTACTAAAACGTAAGTACTAAAAAGTATGTACTACTCTGTATTTCATATTTTTGTAATAACTAATCATATTTTACTAAAAAAACAGAGAAAACACTTAAGCATTCAAAATCTGGAAATTAATAAAAATTAACTCTACATTTACAGGTTAATAGAATTTTAAACATGTATTGCTGAATATTAACAGTCGTTATTTAATTAACCTTTTTATAAAGACTATTAGTAGATCTTTATAAAAAAATATTATAAAGAGGAAGATGCTTAATAGAAAGAAGATCAAAATTCTGTTAACTGCTATACCTAGCATTAATTCGGCAAAAATCCGATAAAGGTAGGAAGAGTAGAGGCAAAAATATTACTTGTTTTTCCTTGGGTTCCAAATCATTAGCGAAAATTCATTTCATTTTTTTTTCAGTCAGAAAACGCATGTCTGCAATGGTTTATAGATGTTTTAAACTGTTATTATTTTAAACTAGATTTTGCACCACCTTATTATTTTACCATGAATATCTTCTTCTTGCTTTCTTTCTCCAAAACAAAAAAAAAGGGAGGACTCGAATGGGATAAAGATCCCTGTCCCATTCGAGTGTAGTATAAATTAGTAATGATTGCTATAATATTGCAATAGTGTCCTATGTAAAATAATATGCATGTCCGTA